AAGAAAAATGCAACAAGATCCACACAAATGTTGCTATAAACTGAGACCACCTGTGAGTTTAATCACATCCCATCTCTTTCCTCAACAGCCCAATATGTCCTGTCCCTGCTGCAGCACCTTGTCCCTCACTAGAGGAAGGCAGGGCACACTCCTTCTCCAACTCCTACACAGCCACTCTATCCGAAACTGTATTTTAACATCCACGCCTCTCTATCCACACCATCCCCTCTCAGACACGTATTCACATTACAGCAGTGGCATCTAGCATGAATAAATAGATTTGTCATCTTCTGGAAGTTCGCCTGCACAGCTTTTCAGTGTGAAGTGCTGCGGGTCCTCCGGGCACGGTTTGTGTAAGAGACTACCACTGATCTAAAGACATACCGCACCTTGGTCCTCCAGCACTCTAAATTACAGCTTGGGTATGACGTATCCCACTCCTGGAACAAACTCCAAACCCCATCTCTGAACAGAAACATCTGACTCTACCAAATGCAGAGGAAACAGGCACATTTGAAACCCGTCTGTCTACAACAAGAGAACTGTTTCGAAGACTAAAGATGCAAAAGCAAATGAAGACATGGTAAATAAGCACACCATCATGGGATGGAAATCATGGATCAGTATTGTCTAAAATAATCCTCCCAAGACCAAGAGCACATATTAATCGCACAATTATCACAAGATAAAAGTATCTTCTGTTTCTCCTTTCTGACCATATTCTTTTTCTTACAACAGACATGAGACCTGCAATATCAGTTTCATTTATGAAGATAATTGTAGATAAAAATCCAGTTCAAGGAAACTGCAAAATAACAGCACTTGAAACATCATCAAAAGCATACAGGAAATGCACAAGTTGCTCAGGAGATATTATAAAACCTGTTTTATTTACTGTTTTGAGCCTCTTAGATGTAAAGACACAAACTTTAAAAAGTTGGCTGGTACAACTATCATTTAACTACTTTTAAGGTGTTGGTCAACTACCTGCTTTCCCTGACCCGCACAGGGACCGTGAATGAATCCATGTCTGACTGTGACATTATAGCCCAGCAGCTGTGGGTGGAGGGAAGGGGAGGAAGATGTGTCCACAGTTCACTCTGAATGGATGTTTTCTCACCTCCCTCGTTCCTTTAAGATATTTTTATGAAATACAAAATCAAGCACAAAGTCAATGTCCTGGAGCAGGACGGAGTTACACCACTTATCCCTGCAGCGTGATTAGGACCCAATTATCAGAGAAACAGAAGGTACATGAGAATTGGGGGTGGGGGGAATTACAATACTCCTTTGAAGAGTCAGAAAGTTTTCGCTATATCAGCATCCCTACTACAAGATATGTAGTGCAACAGGAGAAAGCTAACATTCTAAATACTTATTTACCCGCCTTTTAAAGGCTTCCTGAGAAGTAAAAATTGAAAATACAAATCAGATAAATACATATCGAATTCCTCTAGCTTCTCCCAGGGATAAAAATTAAGTATTTTTTTCTGAACTATCTCACTAAAGAAAAAAAACATCTAAAGCATTCTACAGTTATGTGGAACCATGACCTTTTTTTCCATTTTATGATACAAAAGTAGAATTCTGCACTAAAAAGCACCAAAGGAAGTCCTAGGACAACAGGTAATTGCAGGTTAACAAGCCACCACGTGAGGGTGAGGAAGCTGTAATCTTCCAAAAATTGCATTTTTAATCAGAGCCACAGTTCATTTTGATTCATGTATTTACTGAAGATCAGGCCCATAAATACTAATACAGATTCTTTTCTCTTTTCAATACCTTTTATTTTCCTAACGTAATTACATGCTCTGGAATGTCATATTTTAAGAATTCTGTTCCTTTTCTTTATATCTTATTGCTACTTCTTTTTGTTGAAAGACAACCACATTTTTATCTAACCTGCACACAAATATGCACATTTGTACCACAAAGCTGCAGTTCAAACTAAGGACTACTGCAATTCCAGATTATTTCAATATACTGCTGATAAAACTCACGAAAAACATCACTGTTTTATTAGTTCCTTTGGTGAATGACCACAGTGCTCGCCAGTCTAAAATAGACACTGGAACCTGAGCCATAAAGAAAGCGTTAATGATTACTGCACGAATTTGCTTCCAGCCCCAACTGCAGACACTTTAACCACACCAGGGTCACAGCGAACAGTGGCAGACATCAGAGTTCTAATATTTACACTTCAAGAGACTACTCATGGTCACTTGCAAGTAGCCGTTATCAAACCGCAAAGGAACTGAAGTTTCATGCTAATCACAGACTATTTGTTGCACTTTTCTAAGTATACTGCCATATTTTAATAAAACATACCACTGGGTCATACTGGAAATTAATTATTGATCCTTCCAAGTTCTTAAGATTAAACTTTTACAACCCATTATTTTAAAATAGGTTAGCTGGAATGATGAACAGTTATAAAGTAAATTAAATCCGTAAATCACATCTTGTTTACTATGTTTAGATCACTGACTGCATGAAAGTTTCTTACCACCTATGCAACAACAAAACATTAACTGAACTTCAAGGAACATGCAAGTGACTACTGCTGCTTGATGCATTTAATGTTTTATTAACAGAAATAAGTACATTTTTCATGACCAAAACACTGGAAAGTGACTGCCGCAGCTGCCACAGAAAATGGGCACGAACTTAATTTACACAGTTCTACTCGCAGGAGAAAGTGCACAAATTTAAATACAGCTCCATAGCACTAGGTAATAAAGGATTATTCAACTACCCATAAACAAGAGCTAACAATACTAATAGCTGCATTTCCAAACTATTCTTGAATTGTGAGAGTTAATAATTGTAGGTTTACAATTCAAAGACAGGTTGTTTGCACACTGGGTGATAGAAGAAACTTAGAGGTTCAAAGTCAACAATCACAAGAGAATGACAGAGATGATCTCTTAGTAGCTGTCATTAGTTTAATTTGGACTTCCTACACTTTAAGTACATTCACTGAGTACATATTCATTGCTTAAGGCATATCTCAAATCCATCTGCAAAGATCAAACCTCACACCTAGATATGTAGCTCTACAGTATTTCTTTATAATTTGTCACAAAACTAATTCGTATAATGCTGCAGAAGAACCAATGCCTACTAGGCAAGTATCTCAACAAGTATGTTTTCTGTCAGCAGTACTGGGAAAGGTAACCAAGCAGAGGAATGCAGAGCTCAGTACCTGTGTCATACAGACGCTGTATGTCTCCCTGAAGGTGTTAAAAGAAGCAGCAATGTTACTTTATTACACAAATACGCATAATCACAGTCATCTGGCTACAGAGACCCACTAAATGCTGAATTTAGTACTCTGGATTTTAAGTTTAAAACACACAGAAGCACTACCAATAATCTATGTTCCTCCTCTCCTTCACATTTTGTGGCTTTTATCCACTACTGAGGGAACAAACCCCAAATAAAACACATGACCTTCCCGAGGTGCTAAGGTATGTCTGAATTATGACTCGTTTGATAATTTTTTTCCACCAACTTAGATACTTTCGAAGCAAACCAATTATTTGTGGAGTGTCTTAAAACATGAAAAAATTAAGAAAATACTGAAACATGAAGGCTGCAGGGAATCACAGTAATCTCAAACATTACGAAATCACAATGAAGTTGTACTAGAAATCTGAAAAAGTAAACACCCCTTTCACTGGGTATTAGTTAAGCATGAGTCCTGTCCTCCCACCATCAGGACAGCATGGAAGCAACAATACTGATCTAGGGCTATTCAGCTTCCCTTTTTGGTGGAAAAAAAAAAATCAAAAGGCATTACACACCCAACTGGGATATTCATCTTGCTTCCAAATAACAAAAAACTTGCAATGGGACAATTTATTGCACAGCTGTGCAATACAGCTATAAAACTGATTTTGGGTATGCACAACATGGTCTACAGGAGACACAACGTGGGTGTGAAGCATCAGGAATGCACAGGAGGCACGGAACCACTGCATCCCGAGAAACCTCAGAGAAGTGAGGAGGCTGTGAAGCAGGTGAAATTCTTACGCTGACAGAATTGTGTCAGTTTCAAGAAGTGAACAAATTCAGGACTTCACAGCCCACAAGACCCCAATTAGGATGAACCCTAGGCTTCAGGGGTATTTTATTCAGTAGGTGGTGGGACAGGATGAGCAGAGAGCACCATCACCAAGCTGCACCGAGGCAGCCTCCCATTTCTGAAGACCTGCATGTCATCTAACCAGTGCAATAGTTCCTGAAATCTTTCTAACCATGAGATAAATCACATATTCACAGTTAATAGCAAGCCTGGAAAGAAAATAAATACAGCAAAAGTAAATATTGTGGCCAGCGGCAAATATAAGTATTACAGGGAGTACATACAAGACAAAGTAGATAGCACTATAAAACAGCTTAAATTGAATGCCTTTCTCTGAATTAAACGCCTTTTGTCGGGTTTTCTGAAATACCCCTGAAACTAAAGGTTACTCTAGAGATCTATCACAGGTGTACTTTTCTTCACAGAAGGAACTACACGTTTAATTTTTATTTTTTTTTTAGGAAATGCACTATCAGAAATGTCCAAAAAATGATTCCAACACTGTCATCACTGTTATCACTTCTGTGTTTCACACCCATACAACAGAAAAAATTGAACCAAGGGGAAAAACTGCTTTTCACAGTAATCATGCTGTTAACATTTTGCTAAAGCAGAATTTGAATTGAAAAGTTATGTTAAACAAAGTAAGCTTCTCCTGTAATTTAATGTCCTTTTTGTGAGATCCAGAAATCATAAAAATCTAAACTAGAAACCTTCAGTTACAGACAACACACTAAATGCAGTTTTTGTTTATTTGAAGGGTACAATATGTCAGAAGTCTGCTTATGCAGGCCTATGTCAGTATTGTGGTTAAACACACGCCTGTGTTAACAAAACAAGAACTGAAATCTCTCCATCAAGAGCCAGATATATCAAGAACAGACACCTCAGGTAAACAGCACCACTTTCTGATTCAACACTCACACACAGAAATTCCAGCTGTATGATAAACAAGGTTTCCAAAACCAGACAAAACAGGAGAGCTACTATAATGACATTGGTCTCTTACCCTACGCATGGCTTCCTCCTCCTCTTGACGCTTCTCATAATGTGCAAAGTCATCAAAGATTGAGGTGGTATGCTTGAAAGTAGCAATTATTTTAAGCACTTGCTTGGCTTTTTCTAGGGGTACCTCTTGAGTGTCCCTCGAATTGGTAACCGGTTTGTTGTCATTGTTTTCCAAGCGAATATGCCGCAGCTGGTTATTTGGAACGTCTTTGACAAAGATCCATTTGACATCAAACTTCCCCTTCCACTTATCCTGAGACCAGACACCAGCATACGCATTGTAGTCCACAACAGACTTCATCTCAGCCACTCCACAGAAGTGTCCACTGCCATTCACGCTGAAGAGTAAATAGAGCGGGCCTTTTCCATTCAGGGAACGGTAAGCAGCATCCAAGCGCTTATTACCATGTTCAGTACTACACCAGATAGAGTACTTAATGGAGCGATGAATATCATCCTCTGAATAACTTTTGATTATAAACACACGTCCATTCTTCAGATTCCAATCGAAGTCTTTGGGATTGTAGTTGTTTATGGCCTTTAGTTTCTCCAGCACCGGGTGCACTTCCACACCAGAAGGTGAGGAGCTGACGGATACAACACCTAAACCAAAGTTCTCATTAGCAGCTCCGTTGTTCTGGCTGAAGCCCACACCCCTATTACGAGGAGCTACCCAGCGGTTTTGCAGCTGTTGCTGCTGCAACTGGTGAGGCTGCGCCTGCTGCTGAGGTCCTTGTTGCTGTTGTGGTTGCTGCGGCTGAGGCTGCTGTTGAGGCAGTTGGCTTTGCACCAGCGGTGGTGGCTGAATTAATGGCTGAGGCTGCTGGATTATAGTCTGAGGAGGCAGTACTGGTTGGGCTGGGGGTGCTTTTACCACTGACCCTTTGTCATCCCAAGTTCCAATATTCATGTTGTGTTTTATGGGTGGTGGCGGCACAGCAGGGCCCCCAATGCCCACATTACCTTTAGGCTTGAGTTTCGGCTGAGGTTTAGCAGGTTTCCTTGCAATGGCAGCCCACGAGGTTGGTTTAGGTGCTGAACTGCTAACTGGGGGCACACTGTTTGCTGCAATGCTTGTCATACCTGTACTGCTCAGAGCCGAACCTACAGTTTTTGTTACAGCAGCTGTCATATCTCCACCAATTTTCAGTCCAGTCATGCCTTGCTCAATGCTGCTAATCCCAGGCACCTTGCTCAGAGTATCACTGCCAAATCCAGCCTGTCCATCTGCTATAGCTCTCCCAAGAGAACTAGGTGGATAGCCATAGCTGCTGCTGTAAGCAGAGCTTTGCGTTGATTGTCCCTGAGATCCACTTGTCCCCCATGTAGAGAAGTCTGCATTCCCAGGAAAAAAATTAAATCCATGCTGCCCAAGAAATGGAGGAGTATTTCCTAACGCCCCAGGTTGACTAAATACACCATCAGGTATGTAATGGTGTTCACCATTACTCATCTGTCCATAAGTTGTCAAGTATGGCATTGGAGGGTCACCTGCAGTTGACCATGCTGCTTCGCCTAGAGAGTATGGAAATCCAATGGATGGAGCGTAATAGCTAGGCATGTATGGGTCTGACATTGGTGGATAGCTGTTACTCTGCAAGAAAACAGAACAAAAAAATCAGCAATGTAGGCAATTATGCTCAGGGCAAAAAAACCTGCAGTACAGTCCAAAACATTTTTAAGGATTATATGAATGCATTTGTAACTTCCACCATTCCTCCCAATGTAAAAGATGAACAAGGTACCTGCTACATATGGCCATTTTTTCCTCATCAGTGCTTTCCAAAGCACTCAAGAGCCCATTTTTTGTAATACATTATCTTTATTTTCAGTTACTGAGTTAGGCTTAAAATGCCTCCATGTCAACAGTATCCAGAAAGTAACAAGCTAGGTAGTATCACAAATACAGAAAAACAGCTGCAACTATGATTTAAAGTTTTGCTATTCTCGGTTTTTGGTCAAATTTTGCACTTCTAATTGGAGACACCTGCCAGAATATTACAGCAAAAAAGGAAGCAAGGATACCTATTTATTTCAGGAGGAACAAAAATCAAAGCGTAACATTTCCACACTATTGACAATGATAGGCAGTAAGTATGATCTGTGGTCTAGAAAAACAAAGTTTGCTCACTAAATTCAAACTCCACTCCCAAGACTCCTGGAAAAATCACAGCATTTACTTCTTAAGATAAAGCTCTAAAACATTTGAGGGACTACTACCATACAACTTCTGATGTTGTTTTGGGGGAAAAAACTGCACATTATCATCCTCTAGCTGATGCCTCCATAATGTTGTATTATTTGACAGAAATGGGAAGGTAAGCTAAATTCTCAAAGCCTTTTAATAATTTGCACTTTCTCCCTCTCAAGATTGCTACAACTTACAAACTTAACTTAATGAATATTAACTATTGTCTAAAGAGACAATTCACAGCTGTGAAAATAAGTCATTAACTTCCTGGCAGAAGAGTTATACAAAGCTACAGTAATATTAAGCTTCAATCTATCATGCCACCAACTGTGAGCTGCTTCTATCAACTTCAGAGGAAATCATGTCCAAGTAGCTAATATTTTCTCAGAGCCAATTAAACTGTTGTTTTGAACTGCATCCAATATACGATGATTTCATTGTAAATTTAAGGTGTGGGGTTTGTGTTTTGGTTTTTTTCCTCAAGCTTCTGGTAACTGCATCCTTCTGAAGTCACAGCACAAGCACATAAGACATCAGAGCATGCTTTTTAACCAAATAATTTCTAGAATTATTAAGAAGACTTTACCTATTTAAGGTATTGTAAGATAAGACAAGATACAAGATACAATTATATGTCAATGGAGACTCAGGCAAGTAAGCTATGCTAAGAAGTATTACCAAAAATTAATTAAGTCTCGAAGTCAGTTAAACTCCAAAGTTAACTTCAAGACAGCAAACAATGTTCACTTACCTGATTTGTCTGACTACTTAGATATGGCTCAAAATCATCATCATTTACTGCATCCTTTTGATGAATCGAACCGTTCTGTACTGAAACTAAAAGTAAATCTGTATTAGGTATGCTCTCCAAAAGATCTGCAATGCACTTTTAACCACCTGCACTTTGAAATACTTCTACTTGTGCTTTGTTGAGACTAAACATACTGTTGTTAAGCACCACTTTGTTAAATTTAAAGAAAATAGCTCATTCTGTTGATCCCCAACGAATCTCAGAAGAGGTCTGGAAAGATGGCAACCAGAGCAAACTATTCCTGACTATTCTTTCTTGAGCTCCACAGAGGAAAAAGCTATAGGCACACCTTATTTGAAGAGGCAGTAAACCCAGCATTTCCAGAAGTACCAGACCAAGCACAAATGTGCAGACCAACCAGATCAGACATATTCAATGGACTCAGGGGAAGTTGCAACATACAGCTTTCTCCTGCCAGGAGGAAAGGCAGTTACCCACCAAGGCAGCCATGAAGGGCACCACTATTCAGCTATTTAATTCCCTATTTCCTAGGTAAATATTATACTGTACTGCATTAGTGGCACCTCTGAAGCTCAGAGGGTACAAAGCAAGACAGAAACAAGAGATGAATTCCCCGAGGGTGATTACAATCTTCTTCCCAACATACATGCCACTGTACACTGGAATCTCTTCCTGCCTGCTCTTCTTGGCCTCCTATTACCTTTAATTTCATTTAAGGTATCATACCTACCTGGGATTTTCCAGCTTCACACATCACCTGAAGTCTCTCTCCACCCTCCCCCAGGCTACTATTCAAACAAAGTCAAATTGCACAATTCTCTACCAAGTTCCACTGTTTCCCATGGTGCAAGGCAGAACATTGACTTAGACCGGCAATTTGCAATTATACAAGTTGAAGATGAAGACCTCTTCTCAAAACTTAGTCACTGCTTTTCTGAATGTAATTTTTTTGTTATTTATCAAATAAGTTCAGTTAAAAAAATAACCAAACAAGTTTTAGAGTGATCAGTAAGGTGCACTGAGAAACCCTGACAGAAGAAATCAGAACAAACCAGCAGATTTTCTGACATCTGTAGGCACTGACTTAGGAGCTGACACCACGGTGTCCCTCTTTTAGCAAAAGCTCCTGAAAAGCATATACAGCCATGTAACTAAATGTTCAACTCTGCTGGAGTTAGCCTTTAAGAGCGGGGTATTTTCTGCTTCACTGTGTGGGGTTTTTTTCCAGACAAAATTTACATTGCAAACTAAGTGGTGCCTGGATCAAGTAATTTCAATTATTTTTTTCCACATTTAACACTTCTAAAACAAATGACTTCAGGGAATTAAACTATCTGAAAAAAAAAATTACAAAGCAACAGATATAATCACAAGGAATAACCAAAATTCTGGAAAAGTTTATTAACTTCAGACAGCAGTAAAGAGAGCTAAAAATTCACAATTTAACATGGTACAACAGAAGATTTTTTTTACAAAGTAGATATCTGGGAAGGAAGAAAGCAGCTTGTGTTCTGAACATCTTCTTGGGAGTTTTAAAAGTCAGAAAACTCAATACTTCAGTTACTACAAACTGATAAGTGCACTTGTACGTGACTGGCACGTGTGAGCAAAACGAGTTTAAAAACCTGATAGAACAATATTCCTAATTAAATACCAAATTTAAATTAACATTAGGTGCTGAGGTTTTGGGGGTTTTTTTGTTTTGGTTTGGGGTTTTTTTGTTTGTGTTTCCCCCCCCAATAAAGAGTTTCAGTGAAGGTCATTAATCACCCTGAATTTACACACAATGGTAACACATTAATGAGCTGGAACACTGTATTCCTCTTTATATTTGGCCCAGTCACACAGGGGACGAGCCTCAAAACCTTTTGGCCATTCCACGTCTGTTGCTTAGACTTAAAACAAATTGTCTGGAGAGCACAATTCTCAAATACAATTCTGTTATAATGAAAAACACAGATAGCAGCATACAAGTTGCTTAAACACATGCAACCGCAAATAAAAGAATAAACAGCTGCATGTCAAGACTAGAACCCTATCAAAATTAATCTCCTCACACTGACAGCTAATCTTCTAAAATGTGCATCTGCTGTGTTTATTGTTTCAGAGGTAGCTAAAGGTCACTTCAGACAGGATTATTTTTGGTCTGCCGTTACAACTAACAGTGAATTTTCTGTAAATTTATTTTCTTTCTTATTCATTCTGTACAGAGAACTTAAGTCACCAACACAACATAGTTCTACACCAACATCTCTCCTAGTAAATACACACATTTCCCAGTGGAACAGCATCACTAGAAGTCACTTTCTTTGGCTTTTCATTCTCAATTTACATACTGTATTAATAATGAGGAACGTAGCCCACACACACATTTAACAAGAGCAAACAGATTAAGATGCATGCCTCATTCCCAAAATTTTACATTAAGTGTTCCAACTAAACAGGGCAGCAATGAAGAATACTAATTGAAACTAATCTACAGCGACTAAAAATATCTGTATCTATCCAACCCTGAAAATACCATGTACTTCCGTAAACACTGTGAAAACATCAGTGTAATTAGATATTATGGAAGAAACAACTCATCAAATAAAGGAACTTAAAGGTTTTATTCTTTTAACTGCTACTATGCTTCAAATAACCACTTGCAAAATGCACAAATGATGGCCAAAGGCATAAGAATAAATTTTTCATTAGAAGGAGCCATTACATCTTGATTAATGTGGAGAGTAAATAACAAAAGAAACAGGTAACATTTCATTCTTCTTTTAAACCTAATGCTTACATTTAAACCTTCTACAAAACCAAAATTATATACATATATATGTAAACACAAGTGGGGACTTTCCTACCACAGTTATGATAAACTGGCCCAACAAACAAAAGGGGAGGAAAAAAAAAAGAGGAGTTTCAGCAATGCCAGTTTCTCCCCTCAACCACTCCCCTTAAGACATCATTTGATTGATGTAAATTCTGATGTTTCATGTCAACTCTACAGTAGCTGACAACTAGAATAAGAACACTCTCACAATGGGATGATTTACTCACTCAAGTTTCTGAAATACCAACATCAACATCCAATAGCACTGTTCTGCACTCTAGAACTTCAGCACCACAAATGCTTGTCAAGGGAACCAGCACAGCACACCAGTTTATAATCAACTAGAATAAAGCATCAAAAACATTTTACTAGACAATACAAACCAGCTATCTCCCAATATCACTGCAGGTCCAATATTCAATATGAAAAATACGCCATTTCCATGCCATTTCCACGCATACAGCCCTTATACTGCTCACTCACACTTTCCCATGTGCTCTGCCAGACCCGTGGACAGTAACCCTTCACCATCCTCTCTAACATTATTACTCTTTTGCACAGAACCAGCTTCAGATTAGTCTGCTAACCCAGCATCACATCTTCACTTGAAGCTTCTCTAAGCTGGGACCTGTCACTACACCTGAAAAAGAGTACTGTCTGCTCAAACATGGGGTCAGTGAGAACCGCCAATACTGACTTGATTTGTCCTCTAGCCCAAAGCCAACCACTCGTGCTACACTGTGCTACCATCCTCAATCTCCTTTAACGCTAAATCATAACTTCGTTTCATTACATAGATGTTATACCAAATAACAGATGGAGAAGACTATCGATTTGTCTCACTATAGTGTTCATTTAGGTCATACTCTCACCAAGAGAATACACAGGAAGTATCCATTATTTAAAAGGATGCACTCCATAAAAATCCAAGTTCAGAAATGCAAAAACCATTTCCTTATGTAGCAAACTGAGAGATGTGTTTTGACTCAAACACTCTGCAGCACTTACAAATCATAGCACACCAAAATACACTAACATAAATAAGTTAAAGGTAAAGCTGACTGATGCATTTTCACTGTTAAACAAGCTGCAACGTAACACCCAAACAGAAATGCTTAATACTTCCACTCCATTCCATGTACATGGAGCACAGCTCAAAAATCACTCGCAGGGTTCTCCAACAGATGCATCTCAATAACCTCAATAAAACTGAGATAGGGTAATTCAAACAACATGAAGCCATAAACTACTTGCTAAAATGAATCCAACTTTTATTCTCGTTTAAGGGCAACACAGAAGGTATAAATGCAAACTATTTCTGAGGCACAAAGAAACAGTTAAAAGCTTCAGACTGTGCAAAAAAGGTAGCAATGTCAGACCATGAGAGACCAAGTATTCAAGAATGACCAAACTGAGAAGGTCTGAGGAGGTAAATACGAGTTCATTTTCTCTGAATGCAGAGAAATTAAAAGGAACAAGACAAATTCAGCAAGATTCAGGAACCATGTGACACCTCCTAAGTGAGATATGTAACAAGAAGCAGATAATCTGCACACAGACAGAATAACGGAATAAACACCCTGCGGGTAACACTAAAGGACAGTTCACTGAGAACAATTAGATTAGTTAGATAATGAACAGCAAGGGGCAAAGAGTACACGAGCTCCAAAAAAAAAAAGTTTATCTGCACGAAGAAATAATAAGCATACTGAACACATGAAGGCAGCTGTGTGGATGCTGCTCTATAGCTCAGCTTGCTGAGCACTTAAGAATTAAATGGGCACAAGTGCACTGATTATGCAAAAAGAATTCCCAAACCGAATATTACTCTTTATATCAAAGATAACAAATTCCAGACCAGAAAAAAGTTGCAAGATACTATCTGAGATATTGTTTACAACAGACCTGCCAAGAATTTTAGAGAGAATATTCAGTAGTCGCTTGCTTGTTTCTATGGGAGAGAAGAAACCCCATGGAGTATGGTATCTAAAACTAAAATGTTGACAGAAACATGAAAAAACTAGAAAAGCAGAAGGCCTACAAACACAGAGAGAATATTCTATACTGACACTAAAATGAAGAGAAGAGCTCACAAAATTTCTGAGAATAAGGAAGGCAGAGAGTTCTGCTCACAGGTACGAGTAACTAAATAGTCATGTGGCTGTTGTCTCGCAAGCTACAGAAGCTTTTCAAAAAATTCTTCCTGATGGTTCTAGTACACTGATTCTATTCACTGCACAGAAAGGCCCAGGGTGGACTGTTAAGAAATTATTCACATATCACAAAGTCAGCTACAAAGAAACAGCTATGTTATCGTCCAACTTCTGACATCAATCTTCATTTACAAAATAAAACATTTTAAATTGATGTACCACTGTGCCACAGTAAAAATGCTGGGAAACAGCACTTTGGCACACCATTTCCTGTCATCTTACTCTGAAATAAAAGACATCCTACAGCTACATTCTCTTCCCTCAACTGGCTGAAGACACATTAACCTCCGTGAACAGCAACATTAGAGATTTATACAGAAATACAAGAATCAACTTACCTTTATTTCCCTGTCCTTTAGGTCTCTGTATGTAGGAAAGTGGGGGGGGAAAAAAAAAAAAGGCAAAACAAGTTCAGTTAGAATCCTCTAATGTTTACTTCCGAGCAATTCCACTTATTTCCCAATTCCACTCTTTTCAACTGTAAGTTTAAAATATTATTAAAAACATGCTATTATAAAAATAGTATATGAAATAATATAATAAAAATATTACAAGAATCCAAACAAAATAATTTTAAAATAGAAAAGTTTCTCCAAAACCCACTGAAACATTCTAGTCTTTTACAGCATGTCAAGTTTAAATGGTGTTGAAAACCTGAACAACAAATGAATTCAGATTGCCCTCCCCCCGAGAAATATAAGCAATAAATAAAGCATAGAGTAAAAGAATAAAGAAAGTTAGTGGCTTCAGATTGCTGCCAGTACTAGAACTTCATTAGAACTTCATCATCCCATGTCATCTTTCAAGTTGACTGATGGGTATTTATCAGAGAACAACCTACAATGCCTTGCTTTTTAGATACACAAAGGATATACCGGGATAGTGCCAGCTGAACTAGGAGCTGTGCATTCCTCATCTATGCAATTACATTGAGAAAGTGATACAGTCTCTATGAAGCTTTCACACAAAGAAATAATACCTTAAGGAGGATTTTTTTTAGGATTAGTCATTACAAAACACTGTTAATCTGTCATGCACTAAGAATCACTGTAACAGCACAAGTTACAGTATCCTTAATTCCTCTACAGCAAAATAATTTAGCTTAGAAAAACAAATGCAAGCTCGTGAAAAGATACTTCATCTTCTCACATATGTACAGCTAAGCATGAGTGGGTCTCCAGGCTCCATCGCTCTCTAACAATTTTTAGTCCTGAAGAACTCAGTGTTCAGAGGTTTGAAAGTTTAGGAGGCAACCACCTCCATCTTGCTTCTACGTGCTTCTGTCTCGGAGTTACCACCAGACCGTTCACTGCTCCACCTAAAGCTGCACTGGCTAGTCACCTCCCTCTCCCCAAATCAGAGAAAAACCTCTGTAACCTCAAAAACCCTGACCACTGCCTATTTTGGGATGAATCTAATCCAGACACAAAGGCACGGAGAGACCAATGCGAGACATGAAACTAAAGCAGCTGGAAAGAGCAGCCTTCGCGGAGGACAGAGCGATGAAAAGCTAAGAGATCACTGAGATAGAAATAAGTGCATAAAAGGAAACAGAGTCAAAATAAACAAAACATTGAAGGCACCAAGAGAAAATAAAAGGGGGCAGGAGACTGCAGGGCCAAAACTTTTGGGGAGTGGCAGAGGCTCGCGGAGGAAGCAGAGATCAAGACAGAACTGCTTCCAGCCAGGCAGAAAGGCCAGCAGAGGCCTAGCAAAGACAAAAAACCCAACAAACTGAGCTCCGTGAAGAACGAACTCAACAAGTCCAGCACAACGCACGGCGAGAAACAGAGACCAGCTGGAAGAAGCGGAGGCCGCGGGGAAGGAGCAGGAACTAGAAGCCCGAAGGGAGAACAGGTGGGTGAGGAGAGGTAAAGGCCCGAGGAGAAAGGATGCGGTAAGGAGGGACCCGGCACGGCGCGCTCCCGCAGCGGAGAGGAAACGGACGCCCCGAGAGGCTGGGCCGGGGAGGGCTG